GACAAAATCAGTCCCACCTCCCTGTCCAACAGCAAAATGCTAAAATTTTCCACAGCTATCACTAGCAGCACTTAGTTTCAGACTTTTGAAGTTCATCTTACGCAGTTCATAAAGTACTTCAAAATGTTTCCTTACAGATAGCCATCAATTTACAACATCACAGTATGAAAGTCAAATGATCTTGGGTCAAATTCCATCTCTGTGCTAACCTGCTTTCTGAAACCACAAGCCAATGGCTCTTTCATTTGTTTTTTGATCAGTATCCTTAGCACTGAATGAGGTTAGCTCAGAAACCTACAAATAATATTAGGACTGATTACTGATTACCACTTTGTTCTCTCAAAGGAATGCGTATTGCCTTATCACCTTGATAACAACAGTGTAGTCATCTTCAGCACTGAAGGAACACAGATATAGTTTCTCGGCATAAAACATTAGCGTGCATAAGGAGACAGCAGAAGTAGCAGACAAGAGATGGCAAGGGAAACCTTATTAAATAGGTAGAAGAAACTATGTCAGTTGAAACAGCTGCCTTGAAACACTAGAAAAAAAAAAACCCCACTGTGTATTAAATTACTTTCAAAGCAATCATCACACACAAAGGATGATGTTTTGGGCACCACCACTGAAGAACACTTTTTTTTTTTTTGTAGATTAAGCTAAAATGAAACACAGAGTATGCAAATTGACTTACAGATCTAATACTGGAATACAAGAACATTGTACAACACTGGCTAACACTGATTCCTGACGCCAGAAAAAAATGAATTAGGTCTCCACTGAAGACTTGGAGTCGTATTAGAATCAGAGTTTCAATATATGATTTCTTACACAAGAACACAATTAAAACCATACAGCTGTGGGATACATAGAAATGTCAAGAATCACAGATTTTGTAAGTTTTGTTTCTGATTTTGATACTGATACACAAATTGCCATTTAATGATTTGTTAAAAAAGCAACTGCAAATGTTTTGACCTTTTGCACAATTATTTTGCAAAGTTTACCATGCTGTCAGATACTAAGTTTTGGGTTTATTTCTGTATGGTGCTTCAGAATGGCTGATCTCCTCTAATTTAAATCTGTAATTTATGGAAGATAATACTAGGAGATATTCCCACACTCACTATTACAACTTCATTGGAAAGAATTTTAATTTCTACTAGCAGTTGAAGAGCAAAATTGCCTCTCTTGGGAGTACTCTCAGACCTGCAGCGTACCTTGATGGTCCATCTTCATTATGTGCTATAGTAAAACACCATATTTGGGCAAGAAAACAAACAGCAATGTCACTAAGATATTTTTTCAACAGCTAGGAGGACAACCGCTTAGATTATTTTCTAATTTTAATGATATTAGTTTTCAGTAGCCAGGAGCAAAAATATAGGTGAGTCAGCTGTCCCAGTACTTGCTTTACCTGCATTTAATTGCAGATTTGGCTACTTCACTACTCTTTGTTCTTGACGTGTTTATGGACAACATCCATGCAGCTAAATGCAGTTGCAAACAAAGGAATTGTAAAAAATCCAACTCTAAAATGCAACATGCTTTCTTGCACAAAGCTATGTCTTGCAGCATATTTCTGTCGTAAAACAAGTCAGATAATTTTTTTTAATTGGGTAATTTTAAATGTTAACTTTCCCAGAATTTCTATTTGCAATAGACAAACTGTGAATCATTGTTGGTTAAGAGCATAGATTAAATTATAATTCTTAAAAGTATACACAGAGAACTACACAATCTGAAGACACGTTTAGTTTCTTTCAGTTTCTTGAAAGACAAATTACAGATATTGTTCATCTTATCCCGAAATTGGGCTGCACAAAACCCATCATTCTTTGCCTGGCTTACTTCCTCTTGTGTATTTCACAGGACAGTGAAGTAACAGCTGATAAGCTTTCTTCTAGAATTCATCTGAAGTACATTCTGACATCAACAAATAGGAATCTCAAGTCGCACTTCATACTAGAGGGGGCCTGAAGCTGCAATTTACGCATTTGCAAAGATGGATTTCATAACAAAAACAAAAAACCAGTATGCTATTGTTCTTTGGAAAACAATAGTCCAAAGACTATCTTTCTTTGAAAAATCGCTTTCCCATCTGAGTGTTTGGCACCCAGACACCAGAACCAGCTTCACTTCTTCAACTCAGCTGGATTGACAGGCTCAGGCTCGACTGGAAAGTGGCACGAAGACTTCTAAGCACATATTCTATGACTTCCTTACCACAGTAAATTCAGCCCCTGCTGTTCTTCCTTGGAGAACTATTGAGAGGGCTTTCTCTCCTGGAGAGAGAGGAATTCTGGCAAGAGAATGGGAGATCTATCACACACCTTTCATCTGAAGTGCCATCTGCTGAGTGTGCAGACAGCCAGGTTCTTCTCACCCTGTCTATTTTGTTCAGAGTTTATCTCCAGAATAATACTTTATGTTACCAGCCCAACCATCAGAAATAGCCATGTCACCTGAGCTCAGCCACACTCAATGAGAAGTTTTTTGCAAGGGTAGCAGCAGGTGTAGGGGCAATATCCGAATGAAACTCTGTGTTAATTCTGAAGACGACCTCTCACAACACCTACGTAAAAGAGAAGGCTTCCCCAGCCACTTGAAGAAATGTAAATTAGTGGAGTCTAAAGAGAAAAGAAAAGCAGTATAGCGATTTTGACAGAAGAGTCAAGCTACCCACTTTTTCCTTGTCTTATAATTGTGGTTTGGCCAAAGACTCATCTAGCTCTATTATCTCTTTGAATGAGAGGGCTGGAGGAATAGAAAAATCTTCAAAGTGCCCCAAGCTACTTCCTTCTCCAGCTGATTTATTTCCTCTAATCGTCCTAAGTGGAATTCTCTTTTTCTGTTCAGAAGGCTGAGCCACTGCTCCAGGGCATGGTAGGACCTGCACCTGCTCTCCACAGACAGCATTAACCCCTTCCTTTCTAAAATGTCTTGTGTACAGCCTATCGTGGATAGATGAAAAAACACCACCCACCCTTAAGTCCAAGTCTAATTTCAGTTGAACTGCCAATGAGTTTATGTTCAGTATAAGCACACCTCACAGCAACACTACTGGGCATTAACGGTCTTGTTATTCAATAAATTCTTTAAAATTTTCATGTGACAATCTACATTAAACAGCAGTTGACTACATTTATAATAGCTCTGAAACTTTCCCAGACATGCAAGAGAAATCAGGTTTAGCAGGGTATTTTAAAAGGCACCGAAAGCAGTTCTTTGGAAAGTTTCTGTTAAAACATTTAATCAATAACATTCCTTTTATACTAATCAAAACATTTTTAAAAGTATGTTAATTATGACAAAACTTCCCAGGAGAAAAAAAAAAAAAGCTTTTTATATGAATTTTTTTCTTTAATAAAAGTTTAAAATGTTATTTCAGAATTTTGAACTGTTCATAATTTGTGATTTTTTTTTTACTTTATTCCAGGAAATTGGTATATTGAAAATATTGCATAAAATGCTGCAACCATAGAAAATGAAAAAAGCTGATTCTTTATTGAAATTCCAAAGCAAATTTGGTAATGGCATCTCAAGTTGTTTTATCTCTGCCAATGGGCAGCTTAACTTCATGTTACTTGGGCAACGGACAAGCAATACTAATACAGTAGTTAAAACCAATAAGCGCGAAGGGCAACTGAACTTGGACTTTTACTTTACTTTTTATAACATTAAGTTTTATTTGTAAAACTATCAGCTAACAAAAATGAAATGCAATACATGTCTTTAAATTATTCCAATTTTGGTTTCAGAATTTAGATAATGGTAGATAAATACTTAATGTTCTGATTTTAAAAGCTTTTTCTTTCTAGTTCCCCTAGCCACTATCCATTAGGGTTTAGTCATCTACAGATTATTTTTTTACTGTGTTATATTATTACTTTGGGAGATTTCCTTTTCCATGATTCAAAATTCTGTAGAACCTCCCTGGTCAAAACTCTTAGTGAAATAATTGTGCACATATGTGAACATATTTGTAATGCCACTTCATCTTTTGAATATCTTAATTTATTTGGGTCAAATAAATAGCACTAAACAGTAATAAAATATAAATAGCTTTCTCATTTAGCAACTGAAATAGTATATCCAGAAAAAAAAAAAGTAACTCAATACCTTTACTCATTTTAAGTAGAAATTGTAAACCAAATGTGAACTGATCATGGAGAAATCTAACAAAATCAGTAAATGGTGAGATGAACCCCAACAGAAGTTCTGATTGCAGTAGGGTTCAAAACCAGATCTTATGGAATCAAGATTATACTGGCCTCAGTAAAATTTTCTTCTTCAAAGACCTCTCTTAAAAAAAAATTTAAAAATAACATGCTGCAGCTAATGCTATGTTAACTCCACGTTTCACACCTCTTCAAATGCTTTTTTACCTTATCTATATTTGTCTGTTTGGATTAACCTTCTTTTGAGAGGAATAGTAAAACATCAGTAACTTCAGTCAGAAAAGAATACAGATTTATAATATGCTTGGACCAGAAATATAATATATAACTTAATTCTAAAAGCAGATCTCATGCCTGGAGCCAAATGCAGTTATAAGTGTGTGTTATCTTCAGATTCAGTCTGTACGTCTTTTATAAAGTAGAGCAGTTTGTCTCAGTAAAAATGCTGGGAACTTGATAAGTTCATCCACCACTTATATCCTCAGATACAGTGTTTAATCTATAAATTAGTTACTTGTTCTGCATTTCATTTCATTCATATCATTTCTCTCATGTTGTATCTTTTTAGTTTGATTATTGATATCTTAATAAGAATAATAATTAAGCTGCTATTATTTCTATGCATTGCAATTGTGATTCTGAAGTTATTAAATTGCATTATTGTGGAATGTCATCTGTGTTTATAACCTTCCAAGGATAAATATGATCACTGGTAAAACAATACAGGTTCTAAGCACCATGACTACAGCAAGATTCAGTTTTTAGGAGCACAAAAGAAACATATTTTGAATTTAATCACCCCTTTCTCCCCTCTATCAGACATCTGTGATCAGAGGAACCTATCTCGGCCTAGAATACATGAGAAAAGGAAATGGAGGTGACGGAGGAGTAATTATTAATATCTCATCTTTGGCAGGTAAGAATATTTTCTGTATAAACGCTTTCTGCTCACTGGGTTGTTTCTATAATAAATGCATCACACACAAATGATTCACACTTTTTCTTCTTTCTTATGGCCCTTCTCTGTTTATTCCCATTTTGACCTGGTTTTCATCATAGCAACCAAATATCAAAGGACCACAACTATCCTCTTCTTTTTTAAACTCAGTTCAATGAAAAATTCAGTAATTTTCCTATCAGTCTCATATTTAACATTCTTGAGCATGATGTAAATAGTTTTTTCAGGTTTCTGTACTGCCACACACTGAGTAAAACCTAACTAGCCTCAATTCATTATGCTTATTCAACACTATTCAATAACACTGCTGAATTAAAACCTTATGTACACCACATTGTGTGTAAGAAACAAAATCTAATGTCTAGACCTAATTTGAATTCAGGGTTACTTTAAATCTGATTATTTTTTCTATTATAAAGTATTTGTTGGGCATTAAACATGGAAAATAAGATAATCTTTTTTCACAGAAAGTGAGGAAGTAGTAGCAGGCCCTACATTCAACTCCCCAGGTGCACATCTGCAGGAATATTTAAGATTAGACTGTATCTACTTTATTAATGAAGATTGCCACACACCAACTCTGGCCGTCCTCTAAGTCCTCTCACATGTGATCTACCTCTGCCTGAGAAGCCACAAAAGAAACACTTATATTTCATTGAGTTTAAGCTAGCACATTCTTTGCTCACTACTTACCTATGTTATAACTGTATTTCAATTTGTTGGCATAAAAATAGAATCATATGGCTTCTAAGTCAGTCAGGGTTATTGCTGCTCAGCTGTGAGGCAGAATCCTTCTCCCTTTCCTCTAGGTACACACGTTACAGTGGCTGGGCTCATAGCAAAAAAGCACAACTGAAGGGGAAACAAGTAAAAAGAGAATGATGTCACCTGACACCCTTCCTCAAACAAATTGTGGGGAAGTATTTGCACTCTCTCATTTGTTTGAAGAGTTTCTTCTCTCTCGCTACTGTCACAGTGTCTGGGAAAAATAATACGTAGGCTGGTTTGCACCTGGATTGTCAGTGCTTTCTGCGGTATCTGTACAGAACACCAAATGATAATAATTTTATTCCATGGTATTCCTACGTGTTTTAACAATGAAAAGCCAGTAAGACAGCAGTGGCCAGAGCTCCTAAGTGTGAATGGGGATTTGTGCCCCATAGGTGTGAACGTTCTGAGTATCATTACATTCTCCTGTAAACTTTGGCTTTTGTGACAAGAAGTCCAGTTCACTCTGTTGACATAATGCACGTGGGTCTTGAGGATCTGACTTAATATACACACATGCTTCGCATTAGTGAGGGGTCCTTTATTACAGGTCTCCAAGTCCCTTTAAGTCAGCACTTGCAATGCTGCCTAACATGTTGCCTCCTGATGCCAGTAAATTCCTCTCCGTTGGTTCAAATGGACATTGTATCAGGACCAAATTAACCCAAAGGAAACTGCTACTGCAGTACAAGAGTTCATCAACACAAGTAAAAGATTAAACATTTTCACAGAAGTGCTGATGCCCATGCAATGCTTAAGAAAGGACAGGGGCAGAAAGTAGTTTGATTCAGTTTCTAACTAATTTCAAAAGAACACAAAATTATTTTGATTTTAAGACCTAACAGCTTGGCTTTTCTCGGTTTGGTAAGAGCTTATAAGTGCCTTTTTTATTATGTAATTAAAAATTACATTTATTTACTTAGTTTTTTAACATTAACATTGTGCCATAGTGATTGTGGGAACCTGTCAAAAACAAAGTGTTCTTTGCTTTGTTTGCTTTTACACAGCTTGTATTTAGCAATTGCTTCCAAGGTCATAAGGAAAAATACATTAGAAAAGCTGACATACACTAATTTTTATCTTTTGTTTATTTACTAGTATTTGTGCTTTGTGACTCTAATTCCCATTTCCAGTCTCGAGGTCTAAGTCCTGCAGTTTATTCCATATATAAAAGGCAAACTGCCACTGGCTTGTTTAACATTCTCTTCTAGTGTTTTCTTTTCTCAGAGCTAGCTTCTGTTGATCATTAAACTTTTGAGAGGTTTTGATCCCCCCTGTCCAAGTTCTTTCTAAGATTTTATCAGATACACTCTGCAGACAGCAAATATTCTTGTGTCTTGCTGAGCAGAAAGAAGAGTTATATTTAGTGCTTACATAAACTTCAATAACATTTGCTTTACCCGCTAATTAGTTTCCAGTTCTTCACCATGGGAATTTTGCCAATGATTTGAACTAGGGACAGAATCAAGCCTGACTGCTTTATATTTCCAAACACCCATGGAACTACTTTAATGCTTCCTATGAAGTGGGTGCTTAAAGTGTTCATTCCACTGGATGAAAGCCAGAGCGTCCCCCCTTTCTTTCTGCTATTGAATCTTCCTTCCCTTAGCGTCTCCACAAGACAGGACTAAATACTAAAGGGAGAGAAATATGTAAGGACATGCAGCAGGCACACAATTCCTAATCCACTGCCTCTCAAAGCTATAAAACTTTCTTAATTTTACGGGATTTGTGCATTCATATGAAGAGGAAGTAATGCCACTAAACAACTGAGCTAATGTGAAATAGGTTTTACTGCCAACTTGACCCCATAAAAGATAATGCCAATGACTACAGGTTTTTGCATTGTAATAAACTTCATTTCCAATTTACATAGTAAAATATTCTAAAATTTCTTCTGTAGGAAGCTATGTACATTAATTTTAATTCTGTTTAACAGAATAATTACAAGCAACAGAAAAAAACATACAAAACTAAATTTAACTCCTGAGATTATTTACAGAGTTAAATTTAGCATTGTCTCTTACCTTTTGGTGGCTGGTACCTATACACTTTTGTTAAGTAAAGGGGGAAAGGGAACTCCTGTGTGTGCATGCGCTTATGCTTTGATAGCTTTCATACTTTCAAGAAGGTATTCTGTAAAACTGAATTTGTATCTGTCTGGATTCTAGCAGATTAAAAAAAATATATATATAAGTAGTCACAAGAGGGCTTAAAAACTAGTAAAATATTTAGCATCAGATCATGCTATTTTTTTTTGAGAGTTGTTCAATGTGTAGTGTATCTGGGTACCTTTCTGTTGTACAGCCATATCAGTCGTTTAATTACATTCAAGTTCAAGAACTCTGGCTCCACAAGCAGCCAGTTTGTCCTCCTCCTACAGAAAGTTTCAGCCAAAAGAAATACTTAAAGCACCCCTTGCAGCAAACTGGCTTCTTTAGGACCTGATCCTATATAGATTACAAGAACAAAGCTACACATATGGTTAACATCACCGAGTAAAGGCCAGACTTTATCACAGTGATACAGTGGAGCAACAGTGTAAATGGCTGTACAACTGGGACCTTCAGGTCAGCATCATGAAAGAGCTTCTGGTCCCTCCCCTTTGTAAAAAAAAATGCTGAGCAGATTCCACAGAGATAAAGTAATAAAATTTAGAAACTATTCTCCTGAGACTTCAGTCCACTGTTAAAAAAAAATCCTAGAAATGACACAACTTAGAATTTTTGCTAGGATTTCTGTGTTTGCTTTGTTTTGACACAGATCACAGCAGTATAATTGACATAATGGAATGTGATCTTATATCTCCTCCCTGCTCTTAAGAATGAATCAATTTTACTATCAGTCTGCAAGACCATCACGCCCCTAGCTCATTTCTCTAGTTACATATCCACTTCTTCAAATGAGGCTTTGGCCTTCAAAGAGCTCTGTAAGCATGCTCCATACTGTTTATCCAGACTTTTGCCTAAGGGCGACAAAAGAGATGTCTGTAATGTGGTTTGAGAAAATGTTTCATTTAAATAAATATAACTGAATGCTGTGACATTATTTATTTGTAAGTATTCTATGTGTTGCTATAGGCTTTGATAAGTGTACTTATAAAACAAACCTAGTACGGAATGGAAAACAAATTACTTTGGCAGTATTTCCCAACAAGTGGCAAAGTACACTTTTAGTTTGCTTTCAGTAGGTTCCATCAGTTTGCCAAAAAATATGTTTCAGGATTTTCACATCTTTTTCATAAACAATGAAAATTTAGAGTTTTAAGAATGCAACACGATACTGTGATTATCACATTAGTGAGAGAATAGTAACTATTTTAATGGCATATTTGAATGTTTTAATAGTGAATATAATTGTCTAACGCATAACTGAGAATAGAGCTTAATAACCGCATAGCCATAGTGTAGAAGCGTTGCTTTTTGATGAGTCCAAAGCCTTCATGAAATCAACTGCCATGTTAGAAAACAGACTTTGGTTCTTGTATGCTCTGTGTCACACTCGTCCAAACATGAAGTACGCTATTCCAAGAATTAATGAAACAAAGATACTATTAAATAGAAAGTACATTTGTCTGAAGCTGCCTAACAGTGCACCCATGGAGAAAATAGGGAGTGGAAAGGTCACCTAAAAGCTAATAAATCTTATTCAGAGACTTGTTCAAATCTCTCAGGGCATCGTGTTCAGTGGGAAAGAGCACCTGGGGAAAATGCTTAATTCTGTATTCATCAAAGCTCTTCGTACCCTGAAAGGAAATACTGGTTTCAACAAAGCTTACCAATTCAATTCAAGCTTATTGATACAATCCTCCACCTCCAATACTAATTTCTCAAGATGTGGATAGTGAAACTAGCTACCATAATAAATAAGCAGCTGCAGTGAGAAGCCTGACACAACGTAGAGTGGTAGAGTGGTCTTGACACTGTAACAACAAGGGGACTAGAGTACAACTAAGGGCAAGAGCTGTCTCTGACAGCCTGCAAGGACCTCAGAAAAAAAAAGCACAGTTAGCACTGGTGCACAGGATTACTGCTGGTCTGCTTGAGCTGGTTTTAGTAAACCAAAGGGCACCTTCAGTCATCATGAAATCATTGGCATTTCACCAACTGGTTCTCGATGAAGATCATTTGAGGGGAGAAGGAGGTTCCCCGTCATGTAAGAGTTCAGTGATGCAGCAACATCTAGAGAGAGCAGAAAAATCAACGCATAGTTGCCTCTTCTTGCTGAAAGAGATTGAAAACCACATGTATCACTTTCCAGGAGTACACTGGCCCATCATCATCCATTTGAACACCCTCCCTTTCCTTCCTCCCCTTATTTTGTGCATAATCTTTTCCAGTCTGTTTCATCTGTTTCACTGCTGTTCCACTTTGCATAAAATAATTAAATATTCATGGGAGCAGCAAATAGAATCCAGATTTTCTAACAAATGAATGCCTTAACCAATATGCTATGAACTCATTTTTGCTCACTGATTGAGTAAATACTCAGGCCGAGCAGGATCAATGTCACCCAGTGGTTCATCCCAAAAGACTCGCTAGCAGAGTCCCCAGGACCCACCACTAACAGCCAGAGACCAAGCACTCCCCAGGGCAGGGAGTGGCTCAGACCTGGAAATCCCACACCTCAGCTCCGGCTACCAAACTCAGGAACAAAAGGGAGACAAGACTGTCATTGCCTGGGGTGCGGGATGCTAGGACTAGTCTTCACTGGCGCCGCTCTGGCTGAAAGTGACTCCACTGATTTCTTCTTGGTTCTCCATTTTAGCAAAAATAATAATTTCAGTTAGAAAAGAACTGGGCTTAATGCTTTCTTTAAAAAAAAAGTTATTTGTTCCCACCTGTAAGACTTTGAACCTTATTCCACTTCATTATTGTGAGCTGTGGCCTTCTTTTGTTAATTTCTTGACTTTGTTCCTCTTCCTTCTCAAGGAGCAAGTAATTTATCTTACTATTTAAAAAAAAAATACAAAATTCCTCCTCCTCTGTGTTTCCCAGTAGATTTTGTCTTTTGCATGCCTGTTAGCTGCAGCCTCATTGGGACTGTTTTTTTCTTTAAAACACGTAAAACTCCTCAGGAATTATTAAAAAAATAGTATCATAATATTTCTAATGTGCTAATATTCTAATATTTCTAATTATCTGAAGAATGGTGATGATGATGAAGAGTCACCAAACAGAGGAATATTAAGCCTGTATTGCGATCACAACCCAGAGGAGACAACACAAAAACCTTTTTTCATAAAGCAAGTTCTCAGTCAGAAGCAGAACACATTAATCCAATCCAAGCAGATAAATACAAGTTTAAGAGAACAACCAGCCACTAGGTTAAGTTCTTCTCTTCCCACCACTGAACAGTGCTAACACCACTGTTGCTCTCACTGGATCACCAACGTGGCATTTAAATCAAAATAAAAACTTGAAGCTGTTAGGGTTGTAATTAGAGCTTTATGCCTTCTTAGAAAGTTTGTTCCTTCATACAGAACTGATTCCAGAGCAAAGAGCCCATGCAAGTCTCTGGCATACATAAGTTTTCTGACAAATCCATACTTGAAGCTGGGTAGTGTATTCTTCATCTTCACTGAGATGTCACACCCCTTTTTGATTACATCACTTTAAGATATAAAATATGGAGAATGAAAAAACCACATCTGAGAGATTAATTGGGATGACTTCCAGCAGAATCAAACATTAACATATCAAAATCAGTATCCAGTTTTACAATACTACATTCGGGAACACAGACAAATTTTATCCTTTAAGTTTAGGACAGGCTATGGTTTGCTACTCATGAGACCCTAGCTTTCAGGTGGAACTACAGCATCTATGCAGTCCAGTTCAGCTGCCGTTGTATAGTGGAAAACGTTGGCATAATGGGCAGACTCAGTCTGTCATCTCTTCTTGAGCACCCTTTTGCCATGAAACTCAGTCTTACTAGAATTAAGTCCTAAATTTTCCTCCAAAACCTCTGTTCTCTCTTCTTTCTTTACTATAAATAATGATTCTATGCTCTCCCAGTCCCACCATAACGGTTCCCAGTATTAGCAGTCATTTCTCATTTTGCTTCTCCTTACAGAGGACAGCAATGATGTTACCCAGGATTTTTACCTCTTATTTCTGTTCTCTTCTAAAAATATTTGTCCTGGCTTTTCATTCCAGAAGAGGGCCCACTGCAGGAGGTACCATACCATGAAACTCTTTTCAGCCGATCTAATTCAATCTAGAAAATGCTTTAAAAAGCTTTCCTATCCACATCTCTGCTTTCATTTCTTTCTGCTCACTATCTGAGGTCTTCAACTTATCATTCCATTCACTGCGTTTAGTCACTTATCTCTACAC